ACAAAACAAAGGAAAAAGGAAAAAAGGGGACTTAACAAGAGGCAAAAATTTACTTGGCCAAATATTTTCACATTTTTTCTTGCCCCTCTAATAGCCCTTGTTACAGTTATAAACCTTAATAACAGGATTTATAGCTTCGGCATGGAGGTTTTCAAGCCTAGTGATTTATGCTTTAAATTGCAGCATTTAGCACTTCGTACTTTAATTTAGACAGATCACCTATTTTCTTAAATGCTTAAGTAATGTACCAAGCTGTGATTATTGATTCCCTCTGCATTTATTACAAAGGAGTCTGTATTTGCTCTTCTCTCTCGGGAGAGCCCTTCCTGAACTGCATGCTTGCTAGTGACAGCTTAGACCCCTGATACATAACCAAAGACTTTGCCTAATATCTCTGCAACCGCTCGGGGAATTTTTATTAAGTAAAGGCATCATTAAAGTGGACAGAATGATGAAGTTTAATGAGCATCTTTCTCCCTTATTGTTAGTTTTGCTGTTGCAGCCAGAGTGCTGGCATTTGTTACCCTCAGTGGGGCATGGCTAGAAGCTGTAGCCAGCTCTTTGGCTAATACGTAGGTACCAGTTTTTAGTCTTTGTTTGTTTTTCTATTGGCACATTTACAAATGTTTGTCTTTACCGGAGAGTGTGTATTTACAACCCATTCTCTGGCGAAGAAAAGCAAACCTGGATTATGCTACGTTAAGGATTCTTTAAAATGTATTTGAAGGCTGCTATTAAAATTCTCTAGAAAACTATTTGCCCTTTTCCTTAATGAGGAAGCTACATACACCACACAGTAGGCCTGACCGTACTGCTGTTTGGAAAGATTCTGCCATTTATCAGTTACAATTACAACACCAACCACTTTTTAGTTGCCATGCAAGATAATTACGGATGCCCAAAAGACATGAAATCTTGGTATTTTGCTACAACGACATGATGGTTCCACAGGGATTTATATGGAGCATCCCATTTAAATATTAACATCTCTGCATCAATTTATACTTTTGGAGATAGAGCTTAACAAATTACTATTTTGAGCTGGCTATTTTATTCACCAACTGCTAATGTACGAGGCATGGGAAGAGGCTAAGAGGAAGGATGCAGAATCCTGTTATGATGATCCAAAGTTGGTCTTATTTATGAGATGATATTTGGACAGCGTCATTTGTAAGCTATAGCTTCTGCTCATTGTGCACGTATTTGTCAATATAAATAAGATAGAATTATTAGCCGCACCCAGCTCAGTGGTCATTCATTTGGCCTTGATTTGCTAACCAGACAGTGCAACCCATCAAATTGTGGCCACAGCTATAAGTGATTGCCTCCTCATAATTTCTTTTATTCCTTATCTATCTTGCCATCCTGTCATTGCACATTATTAATGAGTTACTTCTGAGCTGCTTTCACAATATCCTTATGAATCCCATCTTTCCAACAAATGGACTGGAAAGAAGCTAGATTCTGTACGATATTTACTGGGCAGACCAGATGTTTGGATTCCAGCCCTCCCTGTTTGGAAGACTAATAGCACTAAAGGAGTGCTCTGCAGTGGGGTTTGGGAACAGAACCAGTGGCCCTGAGAGAACTGCACTGCACTAGCATATTAATACTCAGCACCGTAACTATTAATTTTGTCCCTGGGGGCAAGCAGGGTAAAATGTGCCCCCAAGTCAACTTTGGAATTCATGACTTTAAAATAAGCCAGGAAGTAATTATAGCACACAACACCTTGAGAGCATCTCTCCTCATCCACAGGGAATCAGCAGGACTGTCAGACCTACAAAAGCAAATGAAATGTGTGTTCAATCCTGTTTAGCATTCCCTATACATAAGAAGACTTAATGTACTATCCAGTCTGTAGTTCTGGTCTGCCAAGCTCTGGATAAACCTATCCTTTGCTGCCTCAGTGGGGCCTGATAAACCCCCTTCCTTTGCTGCCCCCTCCCCAAGAGGCATGGTCTTTTCATAGGTCAGTAGACCAGGCTGACAGGCCAATCTCAGGAAGTATGGTTCTGCTGATACAGTAGACCCTCTACTTACGGAATTAATCTGTATTGGAACGGTGGCTGCCAGTCGAAAAGTCTGTAGGTCGAAGCTCCATTGACCTACAATGCAATGAAAGCCAATTAATCTGTAACTAGCTGTTTTTGTTCCATTTTTGTTCCATTTTGGTTTTTTTCTGGTCTGTAGGTCGATTCTCCGGCTGCAAGTCGAACTTAAATTTTGCAGCCAGAGAAGTCTGTAACTCGAAAAGTCTGTAAGTCAAGCCGTCTGTAAGCCAAGGGTCCACTGTATTGGTTTTGCATCAGAACCTGGAAATTGTTTTTCAGAGAAAGATAGAATTCATGGAATTTAAATTTATTCAGCTTTTGTGTATCTGTACATTCATTTGTAACTTTACTTGTATGTCTTTAAATGTTATCTTACTGTATACCATCCCATTTAACTTTCTGCACCTCCCTAATTTAGCATTTTACTGCAGTGCCTCCACTAGCTTCTGCATCCAGAGACTCCAGGCCAATGCCTGTTCTTCTGATCACACCCACCTGCCATTTCTCTGTTTGGCTTTTCTTCATATAGGTTGGGGGAAGTGATGGCTGTAGATTAGACACAAAACGGATGCACACCAGGAGAAAGGGAGCCATTTAACTCAGTCAGGCCCCACCCAACCCTGTGACTTGCTGGTTTGGCTGACTTATGTGGCTTCTACTGAGTTAGATCATTGTACCACCCTGATCAGTGTGGCAGCAGTCATCTGCAATCCCACAGACTGGTTCTTCTCAGCCTCCACCTGGAGATTCTGTGGATCAAATCTGCGAATTTCTAGATTTAAGACATGGACAGGTGCTTTACTAAGAGCTTGGAAAGGTTACCTCTTTTTGGGGGGATTACAGCTCCAAAAATCCTCCAGCCAACAAATCATCATCTTAGAACTGAAACACTGGGAGGCACCCTGTGGATCATTAAGTGCAGCCCTTGTCAAGAGGCACAGCTGGGAATTGAACTTCCAGCCTCTGGTTTGGCAGCCAGATACTTAAACCACTGAGCTAAATCCTCTGGACATGCTGTATGTGGAATTCTGGGAATTATCACTCAAACAAAGTAACTTTTCCAAGTACCGGTTCTACCATTGAGTTGTAGGCTCTCCCTGACTCCACTGTATCTAGCATACTAGTAGGTAGCCTTTTAATTCTCAAGACTGAATGTTAGGGTTGGTTAAGAATTCGAAGGGGGTTATAACAGTTTTCACTTCCCCTTAAGCTATTTGCCATTGCTTGTGTCTGGGTGGCTACTCTCAAAACAAGAAAGTTTAGGAGGCCCCTTTCTTTCCTGACAGTAATGAGCAACCTCTAAAAGGCACTTCGTCAACAAAGCAAGTTTACATTTGCATCCTGTTTGTCTTGAAGGCTTTTAATTTTGGTTTAAGTAGGCATTACTCATAAATTATCCATTAATTGCTCTCCAGTGTTCAGTGTAAATCCTCTCAGCCTTATAGTCTACTTAGCTTTCCTGTGAGTGCCAGCAATCTTAATTGTAGGATACTTCGTCAACATTTAATCAGGGGTCTGTATTAATGTGGCATTGATGTGTTGGTGGCTCTCTTCCTACCATCCATCATGTGTGAGCAGTCAGAGAAGAGTCTGACACCATTGCTCTGTGTCACTTTATCAAGCCCTTGAGTATTCTGGTTAGGCAGCAGCCTCACTAGGTTTTTTTTGTCGGCACTCTGTCTTGCCAGTTCAACCCAATTTTTGTCAATGTCATTGAAGGTTAAGGATTTAAGGAATCTGCCTGCCCCCTCCCCAGACCACAGCAGTAGGAATTTCAAGGCTGAACTGAGCTGGTCCTATGGTTGTTGTGGGTTTTCCAGGTTGTTTGGCCATGTTCTTAAGGTTTTTCTTCCTAACATTTCGCCAGTCTCTGTGGCTGGCATCTTCAGAGGACAGGAGTCAGAACTCTGTTTGTACTCTGGTGCAGTTTGCTTGGATAGTTGAGAATTTATAGCTGTGGGATCAGCTTTTGTCCTTTTCAGGAGACTGGGTGATTATGGTGATCAGCGTATGTTTTGTTGTGGGTGTATTGTTGTGATAAGGGGAGAGATGATCTGTCACTGTGATTGATGGGTGCCATTAGCTGGTCTTTTGTGCACAGTGATCACTGGTCCTTATGGCTGGTAGTGATCACTGGTCCTTATGGCTGGTAGAGTTCATTGACCTTTTGCAGGCTGTATTTTTCAGTGTTGGGAGCCAGGCATTAAGTTTTAAACTTTCTTCTTTTTTGTTGAAGCTCTGCTGGTGTTTGTGGATTTCAATGGCTTCCCTGTGCAGTCTAACATAATAATTGCTGGTGTTGTCCAGTACTTCAGTATGTTGAAATAGAATTTCATGTCCAGTTTGTTTTAGAGCATATTCAGCTACTGCTGATTTTTCTGGTTGTTTTAGTCTGCATTGTCTCTCATGTTCTTTGATTCTGGTGTGAATGCTGCGTTTTGTGGTTCCAGTATATACCTGGCCACAACTGCAAGGT